TCAAAATTGAATTATTCAAAGTCCATCTTGACCTTTTCCTTTGTCCTTTCCATTTGACCCATATTGGATTATGATCTGCCCAGGTACTTGTTTCAATATTTATTTCTTGTATATTTAAAATAAATTCTGGTGTCACCCAAATCAGTGGTTGCCAACCGATGGGCCGTGGCCCACTGGTGGGCCGTGAGAAAACTTTGGTGGGCTGTAGAGAAATGCCCCCCAAAGCCCGCCCACCCACTGGCTCCCACCCTTCGGCCGAGCGCAAACTTGCAAAAAGCAGCACAGTCCCCTCCGGGAAGGATGAGGTAATGGCGCTGTTGCAGCAAGAGGGAGCTGGCGGCACAGGCAGGCTGAAGCAGCAATGGAGATGGCCAGAAGGTGTAGGAGCGCTGCGCTACTTGCATTTGCGCAGCACTCCCACACCTTCCAGTTTGCCTTTCCTGGCCTGGCTTGTTCCTCGATGGCCGCCGGCTGTAGGGATGGCCCAGGGCAGGAAAAGTACTGACTGGTGGTGGTGGGAGGGGGCAGAGTGGGCAAGTCTGCGCTCACCATCCGGTTCAGAGGTCCGGAATGGGGCAGCAGGGGCGACATCAATTTCCTTGTCCCTCTCGGTGCTCTGCTTTGCTGCCCCCCCCATATGGTCCAAGCCATCGCTGCCCAGGGAAAGCACAGCAAAAAAGAGCAGAAACAGCTGTCGCTGGGGCAAAAGAGCTGAGGTCGAGGAAGGCACAGGCAAGAGAAGATGGAAGCTGCTGCCTTTGAAAAGCGCCACTTTCTGTTGCCTGTGCCTTCCGATTTCTGCTCTTTTACCCCAGCGAGAGCTGTTTCTACTTGCTTGCTTTTCCTCGGGGGGGGGGGGGCAGAGACTTCAGGGCTGCTCTCCCCCCTCAGCAAGCCAGGCCTGGAGGAACGTGAAGAATTGCAAGTGAGCGCTGGAGAAAGGCGTGTTGGAAAAGCCAACACACATTTCTAGCGCGCTCTCCTCTGTCCTGAAGGAAGATTGAGTGGGGGGAAGGGAAGGAGGGAAGGAGAAGCCTGGCTGGCTTTCCTTTGGCATGGGGTGGGTGGAGAGACCAAATGCCCAGACCAAAGAAGTGCTGAGGAAGACGGGCTCCTAATAACCAGCCTGCTTGTGCAGGCGAGAGCTCCAGCTTTTCTGGACTCGACACCCCACTCCCCTTCAGCCTCCACACAGGGAGGGATCCTTCTCTGCTTGGAAGCAACAGGGGAAACCTGGAGCTTAGCCTCGGGGAGTCCTCTTCTTATGTGGAGGCTGAAGGAGGGGGGTGTTGCCTGGTTATTAGGAGCCCGTCGGCGATTCCAGCCCGGCCCTCCTTCCCTCCCCCAACTAACTCCAGGCAGCCACACCTGGCAACGGAGGGAGAGGTTTCCTCTGACTTGGGGGAGATATGAGATGGCTCTGCTTTTCTTCCGTTTGAGGGGGAGCCGGTTCCTCACCATCCAGGTCTTCCCAGCCTCCAGGCACCATGTGACTTCTTAAATCCTCCCTTTCCCCCCCAAAGGATGAGAGAGGCGCCTCCTTTCCCTTTGCTCTGCCCCACAGTTATGATTAAACATTTACGATTTTGTTATAATTAAATAAGCATTTGTGTGTGTGTGTGTGTGTATAATAAATTTTTAATATTAAATTTATATTTAATATAAAAATAATTTTTTATATTAAATATATTATCTTTTTAAAAAAATCATATTAGTGGTCCTCGGGATTTAAAATTATGAGTTTGGTGGTCCCCGAGGTCAAAAAGGTTGGTGACTCCTGATCGAAATCATATCTGTTCTTGACCATGATGAATGTCTATTTGAGTAGAATGTGTATTGTTTGCTTTTGGTGTTTAATTCTCTCCATATATCTCGGATGCTTAGTTCCTCTGCCATCTTAAAAAAGGATTTTGGTAATGTCTTTCTATTTTTTTTATTTATCTTCTGTGTTTTGTAGTCCAACTCTGCATCTACAATAGCATTAAAGTCTCCTAGAATGCATATGCTATCATATTCCAATTCTATTATTTTCTTGTGTAATTTTTTTATAAAATTCTTGTTTCTCATTCGGTGCATATATTGCTATTAAAGGTATTTGTTGATGATTATCTATTATTTCCACCATCAATATTCTCCCTTCTTCATCTTCAAAAATTAATTTAGCTTTTATTGTATTCTTAATATATAAGACTACACCTCTTTTATTTTGTTGTGCCAATGAAGCATATAAATTCCCAATTCTAGGCTAGTCCAAGAGTTGAACATGTTGTTTTTTTATATGTACTTCTTGTAGACAGATTATATCTGGTTTTAATTTTTCTAACTTATGAAAGGTCTTTTTTCTTTTAATGGCCAAATTCAATCCATTTATATTTATTGATATTAATTTATTTTCTTCATCCATTATTTATACTTTATATGTAGGGTTTATTGCTTTCGTTATTCTTTGTTCTCTTGCCTCTTTTGGTTCCAGCCTGCCACCTATTGCTCCTTCTTTTCATATTCTTTCTTCTCTTTTCTCTTTGTCCCTTTCTTCAACCATTTCATCTTGAATTTCAATTATTTTCTCCTCTCTTGTTCTCTCTTCTTCTTTTCCTTTGAAGTATTCATCATAAAATAACTCTGCTTTCTCTATTGAATCCAATCTGTGTCTTTGTTCTTGCCAAATAAACATTAAACCTTCTGGGATCAACCATCTATAAATCACTGCTTTTTTAATTAGAATTTTTGTGAAGAATTGATACTCTCTTCTCAAATCTCTCACTCTTCTCTGTACCTGCTTCAGAACTGTGATCGTTTTCCCTTTATATTTCAATGGGTCATCTCTCACCTGTAATATTTCTGTTTTAATTGTTTTCTTAGTAAATCTCACATGGACTTCTCTGGGTAGCTTATGTCTCATTGCATATCTAGTATACACTCAAAATAATTCATCAATTCCGTCCATCACTTTTTCTCTTGGTATCTCCATGGTTTCTGCCAGCATTTCTGTCATTATCTCTGCAAAATTTTCTCCTTTTTCTTCCTCCACATTTTGAAATCTTAGATAAAAATCACCCTTATCCATCTCTAGGGCAATCATTCCCTTTCCCTTGTCTTGCTCCACTACTGTCAATCTGTTATCGATTTCTCCAACTTTTTTCTCTGTCTAGTCTCTTTCTTTCATCTTTTGCATTCTTTCTTCATTCTTCATCATCATCTGTTGTATATTTTCAACTTTCTCTTCAGCATGCTTCCCTTGTTCTTGTATTGCTTGTATTGCTTGCATCATTGTTCTTAACTCCTGCATTGGAAAGTCCTTTTCCTTTTCTCTTTCTTTCTCCTTCTCCTTTTCCTTTTCCTGTTGTAACATAGCTTGTATTGATCACTGACCAGCTGGGCTTACGGAGGAGGAGGTAGGAATCAATGATACTGTTTCAGCTGTCTTCCTCATCTCAAATTAATTATAATTCCAAGCAAAAGATATCTGCCAATTAATCCAAGTACTGTTTTCTTCAGGTTCTTCTCTGCCTTAAACCAATTATAAAAAGAACAAGCTTTCCATATCAAAAAACAAAATGTAAAAATAGAGGAATCAAAAATATTAAATCCACAGAGGCAAAAGTAAAAAAGAAACAAAAAATTAAAAAAGAAAGAGTTCCAAAAATAATCCACTTGTAATATAGTCCAGTAATAAAAGATAAAAATAGAGAAAATTAGAATATTCCAAGTAGAGAGCTAGCCAAAAAAAAGGAAACAAGCAGCTGTCAACAAAGATGAAATAGTAAAAAGGCCCAGAAAAAGTACCAACAGTAAAAAATAAAACAAAATAAAATAGCCAACATTGTTTTAAATAGAAGTCACAAAGCAAATCCAAGCCACCGTATTGTATCCAAAAAGCCAAGTCAAAACAGTCCAAGGTCACAGTAGTCTTTTCTCTTATTCTATCTCCAGCTGTTTAGGTTGCCAGCACAGTACCTGTTTCAACAATTTTTCAGCACTCTGCTCTTTATCTTCCTTTTAGGTCTAAACAGCTTGCTGTCAAAAAACAATTCTTTAATCTTTATATTTTTTCTGTAACCTCTAGATGACACTATTGCTTTGCTTTCACTCCTTTGTTATATTGTATCAAGAAAGGTTAAAAAAAGTTTCACTTTTAAAATTTATAGGTTACTAAATAGCAAACTAAAAGGGAAAAATAGTCCAAGATTTAAAATTAAAATTAAAGTTAAAACTTTGTCTTTTCCAAATTGCTTGCCCAGTCCAGTTAAAAAGAAAAAGTTAATCTTACAAATTAAACACGTAGTAAAATAATCCTAATTAAATCTGACAGTTATAAACAGGCTTTCCCGCCACTAACTTTCTCTTCTGTCTTCAATGTTCTTAAAATTTCTTTTCCCCTTAGGGTGCTCTTTAATCCTTAGCGAAAAAATAATTTAAAAAAATCTTAGCCAGTTCCGACACACTTTCCTTCTACTTTCTCTTTCGTTCTGGAGCTGTCCCAGCTTTCCAGCAGCCTTAATGGCCGCTTTCCTCTGCCTCTGGTTGAGGGAGCTTCTCCTGGATCAACCAGGGACTTTGCAATGTCCCTGGGATCAACAGGGTGTGCCCCCCTCTGTCACTGTCTCTCTGGGACGGTTTAGATCCTAAAGGACTGTCCAGGTGCAGGGATATCAATAGTAGTTTTGGGAGCCCCCGAATCGCCCGTCTTTCCGCTGTGACGTCAGCTCTGCCCTCCTCAACACTGGAGGTTTTTAAGAAGAGATTGGACAGTTGTTTGTCTGAAATGTATAGGGTCTCCTCGAGCAGGGGGTTGGACTAGAAGACCTCCAAGGTCCCTTCCAACTCTGTTACTCTGTCAATCAAAAAGGCCAATTTAATTGGACTGGACTGGGGAAGAAGAGATCTTGGGCCTCTTCCTCCTCTGATTTGCAGGACCGAAGAGCCTGTGTTTTCTGTCCCCTCCTCTAGCAGGCTTGTTGGCTAAATCTCGGAAACTTTCCTCCTCTTCTACTCGCAGGTCGAGTCTCCAACGCAAATGCATATGGAGCTAGTCTCCGAATTGCCCGTGGCCATGTCACCCTGCCCTCGCTGCATCCGCATGGGCTGCGACAACCCTCCAGTGGTCAACAGTGACTGGGACAATGAATACTGTAGCAACGAATGTGTGGTTAAACACTGCAGGTAGGTTTGGTTAGAGCAGGGGTGTCAAACTCAATTTCATTGAGGGCCGCATCAGGGCTGTGGTTGACCTTGGGGGGGTGGGCGGGCATGTGTGGCCAACTGGGTGGATGTGACTGACTGGGTGAGCATGGCTGTTCTGACTCAGCCTTAGCAGAAACAAGAAACAGACTCCTTGTCACAAAAAAACCCTATTTATTTACCTCTTGTGAATTAATTGCATTCATCCACCGAAAAGTCCAAGCAAGAGTCCTGCAAGGACTTAACTTCAGCAACAGATCTTATCAGTTCCTTGCAGATAATTGAAAGGCCCTGAGCTCCCAGCTGAAAGGCTGCAAATTAAGTTCTGGCAAGAAGTCTCTGTGGCACAAAACACAATGAGCAAAATCTCCAGAAATACGAACTGTTGTCTCCTACAACAACCACTCCCTTTTCCTTCTATTTATTCCCCAGCCAGGGAGGGGTCATTCAGCATCCATGCTTGCTTTGCCTCCCAAGTCGACTCCTTGCCCTTCATTGCTCACCTCTCCTAACTGCTCTGCGCATACGTGCATCTGGAATAGGCCCCAGCTGTTCCTCCTCCCCACTCATCTCAGCCTCCAAAGGGTGGTTGGGAAATGTTGGACAGCCCTGGCTCTATCTCTGTGTCCGATGCTGAGCATCCATCAGAGCCTTCCCGAGGCTCCAGAAGTGGCCCAAGTTCTTCCCCCATCCTCCTCATCGTTCAAGTCTGCTGCCAGCTCTGCTGGCAGCTGGCAGGTCACAACAGTGGCCAGCTTGACACCACTCCCCAAACTGCTGGCATGTTTTCTCTTTGCATTGGGTAGACTGGGCTGAAACGACCCTTACATTTTCCAGGATGGCCCCACAGGCCAGTTCCGACCACCTTGTGGCCTGGATGTGGCCCGCGGGCCTTGTGTTTGACATCCCTGCCTTAGAGCTTCTGCTGTAGTTCTCAGAAACACAGCGGAATTTGCCCTGATTTAGCCATGGTGGTGTCGTAGTCAGAATCCAGTATAGATAGTCCTCAACGTAGGACCACAATTGAGCCCCAAATTTCTGTTGGAAAGTGAGACGTTGGTTAAATGAGTCTTGCCCCATTTTATGACCTTTCTTGCCACAGTTAAGTGAATCACAGCGGTTGATATGTTAGATAACCTGGTTAAGTGAATCTGGATCACATGACCCCCGGGACCCAGCAACGGTCATAAATATGAGTCAGTGGCCAAGCATGTGGATTTTGATCACATGACCTTGGGGACGCCAGAAAAGTCATAACTGTGAAAAACGGTCCATTTTTCAGATACTGATGTAACTTTGAGTGGTCACTAAATGAACCATTGTAACCCAAGGACCACCTGTAGATTAATCTTGTTTGAGTTTGGTTTTCTGACATGTTCCCCCCCTTTCTCTCTCTCTTTCTCTCTCTCTGTCTCACCCACACTCACCCACACACCCAGGGATGTGTTCCTAGCTTGGCTGGCCTCCCGCAATTCCAACAACGTCGTTTTTGTGAAATAACACCCCATAATAAGAGTGCTGGGGAAAGAAACTACACAGTTTTGTGTTGCCATGCACATTTCTGTCCAAAAGGATGACCAAACCCAGAAGAAGAAAAATCTCACCATTGCAACTCTGAGGGTGGGAAGCCGGTTCTGGACATCTTCTCTGCTGAAGACCCAACAGCAAGAGAAAAATCCCCCATCCTTTTTGGAGAAGGGTGTGAGGCAGAAAACTGGGGTGGCACTGCCTTTCTCCCACCCCCTACCCCTCTCTTTTTTTTTCTATACACAAACTTTATTTAATAATGTTTCTCTTGACAGAGCGATTAAAGCTGTAAGAGGAATATCGGCTGAAATCTGCCATGTCCTTGCTGGGGAGGGTCAGGTAAACAAACACAAAAAATGGAATTCCTCTGCTAGAGAGGTTAAGGATGTTTCCACGGTGGATAGTGGGAGGGTGTGTGACAGTGGCAAAGATGGACCTGGTTGTGCAGTTAGTAGACCCGAGATACAAATCCACAAACCAACATACAGAGATGTAGGTAGTCATTTATTTTGTACACGTAACTCACATCCCATCCGGCGGTAACAGTTTGAAATCCAAACTAGGTTAGCGCTGGAAGCATTTGCCTTCCAGCGCAATTATAGCATTACCCCACCCTCCTAATCGCAGCTACCTCCTGCGGACCGCCCTATCCTAAATCCCCACGTAACGAAAGTTCCCTAATATGGCTAATTAGGCTTTTCCCATATCCCGCCTCTGCAGCCTATAATGCTCCTACCACCATCCCGTGAGAACCCTGTGATAACAAACATCTATCCCCCCTGCTCCACAAAACATCCAGTGACGTCCTTGAGGAATCCCTTGTGCAGCCTCCACGTCCCAGGTACCAACATGAGGCAGCGTTGCGAGGCAGCATTTGGGAGCCCCCATTCAGCCATCAATTCCCACTGATCAGATTCAATGTCACATGTTGGAGGGATCTGGGTGTAGAGCTCTACTGCTGATGGGCGACTGCATTTGGATCCTGACAGGCTGCCCTTCTACCACAGGTCTACCTGGAGAAAGAGGTAGAGTCATGAGGCTATAACATTACTGTTTACCACCTGCCTTCATAGGATATCTCCGGCAAAAACGGCGGCAGAGTCAAGGAGCATTGACATTGGTATGAACCACCCATGAGGCCTCGAGAGGATAGCCCTTCCACCATTCCAAATATTGTAACACACCCCTACACTTTCGTGAATCTAGAATATCCGCCACCTCATATTGATTGTCTCATATTGGCCCAGGTGGTATGGGCTGGATGTCTGGTCTTTCCCTATTATCAGGCTTGATTAAACTTACATGGAAAACGGGATGCACCCGCTTAAAACGTGAAGGCAGTTTTAGCTGCAAGGTGACAGGGTTGATTACCTTCACTATAGGGAATGGACTGATATATTTTGGACTGAGTTTCCTACATGGTTATCCCAAATTTAAATATTTGGTAGACAGGTATACCAGATCCCCAATTTTGAAAGATTTGGTTTCAGCCCGCTTTTTATCTGCCTGTTTCTTATATGCAAGAAAAGCCTCGTTTAAGGATTTCTGTACTGTTCCCCATGTCTCTTTTAGTCGTTACGGGCTCTTCACTGTTATGTGGCCATTCGGGAATGGTACAAAGTTCATTCCATGTACTATTTTGAACGGGGTCTGTCCTGTATTATTATGGGCAGTATTGTTATACGCTGCCTCAGCAAATGGCAGTAGTTCAGCCCAATCGTTTTGCTGATACAATACATAGCTGCGCAAATATCTCTCAATTGCTGCATTTGTCCGTTCAGAGGCCCTGTTTGTACTTGGGTGGTAAGCAGTGCTTAAATCCTGGGATGAATCTAATAATCAGATGAACTCCCTCCAAAACCGAGCAGTAAACTGCACCCCTCAATCTGATATGATTTGTCTCGGCATTCCGTGTAATCAATATATGTGTTTAAGGAAGAGGGTGGCTAACCTCCAGGCAGAACGAAGTCCGGCACATGGAATAAAGTGTCCCTGTTTTGAGAAGAGGTCATTGACTGTCCAAATCACAGTATAGCCGTGACTGTTGGGTAGCTCCACTATAAAGTCCATGGCTATTTCTTGCCATGGTCTAGTAGGGTTAGACACCATCTGTAATAACCCGAATGGTTACCCAGGGCAGGATTTTGTAGTCACACACACTTTACACCCCTTCATGTAACACTCAATATCTGCCCTCATTGCCGGCCACCAAAATTGTCAAGTGTTTTTAGGAAACCGTAGTACCCAACTTGTTTAACGTTGTGGCACCTTTGAAGTACCTTCTCTCGCAATAGTTCTAGTATGTAGTTTTGTTCCTCCAAGCCACTCCATTCCAGATATCACACTGAGTTTTATTTTCTTCTAGCCATAAATCATCTTTTATAGCATTTGGCAACTTGTTTGACATGAATTTTACTTTCAATGTTTGCAGTTTCTTTTCCTTGAATAATAGGTTGTATCACTATATCTCACTTACTTTCATGTTGAGGTAATCATGAAAGCGTGTCAGCAAGAAAATTTCTTCCTCCGGGAACATATTTCAGAATGAAGTTAAAATGACGAAAGTACAGTGCCCAGCGAACCTGTTTGGGCAATGACCTTTGGGGAGTTTGAAGAGCCTCTAGGTTCTTATGGTCCGTCCCACACCTCGAACAGGGTTTTGGACCGTTCCAGAAAATGCCTCCAAGTCAATAATGCCCAACGAACCACAAAGGCTTCCTTTTCCCAAACAGGCCAGTTACGTTCGGTAGGACTGAATTTCTTTGAGGTGTAAGCACATGGTTGTAATATGCCCTCTACGTTTTCTTGCAACAATACAGCTCCCACTGCAACATCGCTGGCATCCACTTGGATCACAAACGGCCTTTCTGGATCTGGATGTTTTAACACAGTTTTGTGTGCAAACATTTGTTTTAGTGGTCACCTGCTGACATGTCGGTGACCAGGGTATCGCCTGTCCAGGTTTAGGCTTCTTTGTTTGCAGTGTGTTTGTTTTCAATACATCTGTTAAAGGGAGCGCCAATGTAGCAAATGATGGTATGAACTGTTGGTAGAAATTTGCAAAGCCCAAGAAGTTCTGCAGTTGTTTTCAGGTGCTGGGTGCTTGCCAATCCAAGACGGTCTGAACCTTGGTGGGATCCATTTCTATTCCTTCTGCTGATATCCTATACCCCAGATAGTCTAGCTGGGTACAATGAAACTTTCATTTGGACAATTTAATGTATAAGTGGGCTGCCAGCAGTTTTTTAAGTACAGGTGAAACTTGAAAAATTAGATTATCGTGCAAAAGTTCATTTATTTCAGTAATGCAACTTAAAAAGGTGAAACTAATATATGAGATAGACTCATTACATGCAAAGCAAGATAGTTCAATCCATGATGTGTCATAATTGAGATGATTATGGCTTACAGCTCATGAAAACCCCAAATCCACAATCTCAGACAACTAGAATATTGTGAAAAGGTTCAGTATTCTAGGCTCAAAGTGTCCCACTCTAATCAGCTAATTAAGCCATAACACCTGCGAAGGGTTCCTGAGCCTTTAAATGGTCTCTCAGTCTGGTTCAGCAGGAATCACAATCATGGGAAAGACCGCTGACCTGACAGTTGTGCAGAAAACCATCATTGACACCCTCCATAAGGAGGGAAAGTCTCAAAAGGTAATGGCAAAAGAAGTTGGATGTTCCCAAAGTGCTGTATCAAAGCACATTAATACAAAGTTATGTGGAAGGGAAAAGTGTGGAAGAAAAAGGTGTACAAGCAGTAAGGATGATCACAGCCTGGAGAGGATTGTCAGGAAAAGGCCATTCAAAAGTGTTGGGGACTTTCACAAGGGCTGGACTGAGGCTGGAGTCAGTGCATCAAGAGCCACCACACACAAGACGGATCCTGGACATGTGCTTTAAATGTCGTATTCCTCTTGTCAAGCCGCTCCTGAACAACAAACCACGTCAGAAGCGTCTTACCTGGGCTAAAGAAAAACAGAACTAGTCTGTTGTTCAGTGTTCCAAAGTCCTCTTTTCTGATGAAAGCAACTTTTGCATCTCATTTGGAAACCAAGGACCCAGTGTCTGGAGGAAGAATGGAGAGGCACACACTGCAAGATGCTTGAAGTCCAGCGTGAAGTTTCCACAGTCTCTGTTGATTTGGGGAGCCATGTCATCTGCTGGTGTTGGTCCACTGTGCTTCATTAAGTCCAGGGTCAACGCAGCTGTCTACCAGGAGATTTTTGAGCACTTCATGCTCCCTCTGCAGATGAGCTTTATGGGGATGCTGACTTCATTTTTCAGCAGGACTTGGCACCTGCCCACACTGCCAAAAGCACCAAATCCTGGTTCAATGACAGTGGGGTTACTGTGCTTGATTGGCCAGCAAACTTGCCTGACCTGAACCCCATAGAGAATCTATGGGGCATTGCCAAGAGAAAGATGAGAGACATGAGACCGAACAATGCAGAAGAGCTGAAGGCCGCTATTGAAGCATCCTGGTCTTCCATAACACCTCAGCAATGCCACAGGCTGATAGCTTCCATGCCACGCCACATTGAGGCAGTAATTGCTGCAAAAGGGGCCCAAACCAAGTACTGAGTACATATGCATGCTTATACTTTTAAGAGGTCCGATATTATTCTATGTACAATCCTTGTTTTATTGATTGCATGTGTTAGGAATATGAGTCACCTAACAGCTATTTGGGTTGGACAATATATAAACCAGGATAGACATTTTAATACTGTCTCTTTAAGAGAATCCTAAAAGTGTAATTGGGTGTGGTTTCATCAAACGACCATAAGATGGAGCCAGAAACCTGGGTTGTTTAGTCTTTTAGTCTCAGAAGAAGTCTCAGTGAGTCTCTGTTTTCCTTCTGTTGGAGAGTATTGCCATTCCTAATAATTGACTGCTATTTCTGGATTTGATGGAAGTCTGATACTGAACTGTTTTTGACACTGGACTTTGTTATTGGATTACCCTGGACTGAAAACTGATTTAACCGTAAATGACTTTGGACGGCTTGTTTGAACTTTGCTATTGAAAGTAAAAACCTACATTTACTGTACAGTGTATCTGTGTGCTGTGTGTGTATTGTTCAACACTTCTCTCAATACATCTCTCTGTATGCGCTCATTCTCCTAATGGGGAATTACCTCAACACTGGTTATGGGCCCAGGCCATACCAGGCTCAGATAACTGAGAGTTGGTGTGAATACACAATACTGTATACAGACAGCTGTTTACTGTTTAATGGTGGGTTACTATCCTGGTAAAGATGGCACAAGACACTTCAACAAGTCTATCACTGATAACCCAGTTGGATGGAACAAACTATGTTTCCTGGTCTATGAAGTGCAGTCTACTTCTGCGTAGAGAAGGGTTATGGAATGTAGTTCAAGACCCACCAGATGTAAATGCTTGGGATCCAGAAAATGAGGACGATGCCAAGAAGCTTGCTGACTTTAAACAGAACAACAAACAAGCTCTTTGTATAATTGGACTAACACTGAGTGACCAGCAGCTAGTCCATATTCGTGGAGAAGAGTCTGCTGCTAGGTGTTGGGAGAATTTGAAGAAGATTTATGTTCGTGACAGTGTAGGTGCATACATACATCTTACACGTAAACTGTTTAGATCACGTCTTCTGAAAGGTGGAGATATGTTAGCTCATTTGAACTTCATGAAAAGAACGTTTCAAGAGCTACATGAAAAAGAACTGATATTTTCAGAGCTGCATCAAATTTACATCATTGTTCATTGGATGAAAGTTATGATGATTATGTATCTTCACTGGAAGTCCTGCCCAGAGATAAACTGACATTGACTGACATAACTGGAAGAAGACGGCTGGATAGGAAGGAACAACCACAAGAAGAGGATTTGTCTTCAACTGCCTATACTGTTAGGAAATGTTTTTCTTGTAGGGCTAGGGGACATATAGCTAGATACTGTAAGAAGGGAAAACAACAGAATACTAGTAAACACCAGAAGGCCAAAAAGAATGTTAGTTTAGCTATGTCTAGCAATTCAGCTGTAAACCATGATTTGTGGGTTGTTGATAGTGGAGCATCACAATGCATTACTAAAGATAGAAAAAGGTTTATAAAGATGTCCGCAAGTAAACTACATGTATCATTAGCAAATGGATGGAAGATTAAAGCATCAGGTGAAGGTACTGCATATTGTTCTTGTATAAACGAACATTTATACATGTTATATGTACCTAAACTGAAATTTAATTTGCTATCAGTAAGGGCTTTAGTTAATCTTGGTTATGTAGTAACCTTTAGGGGAGATAACTGTATAACAGAGAAAGAGGGTAAAAGTGTTACTGCTAATTTAGAGAATGATTTATATGTGATACATGATGACCAGTTGAAGATGGTTAACGCAGTTTATAACAGTGTTAAGCCACATGATGAATGTATACATTTACTGCATAGACGTTTCGGGCACATTAATTTCAAAATGCTCAAACAAACTGTTGAATTGTCAGAGGGAGTAAAATTGAAACCCTGTAGCAAGTATTTAAACTGTAATGCTTGTAGCCAAGAGAAAAGTAAGGTTACTTCTGCAAACAGACTAAATGGGTTTAAGACCAAAGAACCTTTAGAGGTTGCTTTTGCTGACATAATTGGTCCTAAGAAACCAAGTTTAGGAGGTGCCTGCTATATTTTGAGTATTATGGACCATTACGATACGTTTTCTACTATCTCATGAAAAACAAAACAGAAACATTCCAACATTTCTTTAACTGGCTAAGGTTTGCTGAGAGAAAAATGAAAAGTAAAGTAATTACTTTAGTCACTGATAATGGGACTGAATTTGTTAACAAAAGATTCCACACTATGTTGAAATTGGCTGGTGTTGAGCATAAACGTTCTGCACCTTACAGACCACAACATAACTCCTTTGTAGAACGAAGAGGGCAAACATAGCAAGCCATGGCTCGCACTATGTTATCTGATTCAGGTTTACCTGAAACACTGTGGGGTGAAGTCATCATGCGTAGTAATCATGTTTTAAACAATGTAGTTAACACAACAACTGGAGAATTGCCATTTACTCGTTGGCATGGCAGAAAGGCAAATTTAAGTTACCTACACACATTTGGAGCTCCAGCATGGGTGCATATTCCCTCACAAGTAAGACTGAAAGGGCAACATAGAGCTAAGAAGTTATGTTTTGTAGGTTATGAGGCCAACCATAGATCACTTAGATTTTGGGATCAAGGCACATCTCATGTTTATTGTAGTGCTAATGCAAAATTTCTCGAGCACGTTGGGTGGGATAAACTGGAACAGGAATCCAGCAATGATATTGACACCCAAATAGTCCTGAAACATAAAATCAGTAAACCACGAATAGCCATTAAAGAGGAAGCACAGGAGGAAGTAGGAGAACAGGCACAGGAGGAGGTAGAAGAACAGGAGCAGGTGGTACAGGTATCCTTCCCCTGCCACGCCCACCAAGCCATGCCCACAGAACTGGAAGTAAAAAAATTTGAATACCACCACCGCTCAATGTTGCCCAGTGATACAGGTAGTCCTCAACGGCCACAATTGAGCCCAGAATGTGTGTCTTGCTAAAGTGAGAAATTGGCCAAGTGAGTTCTGTTCCATTTTACGACTTTTCTCTTGCCACGTTTGTGAACGGAATACACTGCAGTGGTTAATTTTGAATCTGGCTTCCCCCTTGACTTTGCCGGTCAGAAGGTCACAAAAGATAAGTCACATGACCCTGCAACGGTCGTTAAACATGAAAAATGGTCACAAGTCCCTTTTTTCTGTACCGTTGTGACTTCAAACGGTCACTTAAAGGACTTGTAAGTTGAGGACTACCTCTCTGATTAAACTCCCTGCTGTCATCTGAATACAGGTAGTCCTTGACTTATGACCACAATTGAGCCCTGTTGCTAAAACATTTGTTAAGTGAGTTTGCCGCATTTTATGAACTTTCTCACCATGGTTGCTAAGTGAATCCCTGCAGTTAAGTTAGTAACCCAGTTAAGTGAATCTGGCTTCCCCGTCAACTTTGCTTGTTAGAAAGTCACAAAAGACACTGCAACCGTCATAAGTATGAATCATTTGCCAAGTGTCTGAATTTTGATCATGTGACCATGGGGGGATGCACCATTGTGAGTGTGAAAAATGTTCCATAAGTCCCTTTTCAGCAATGTTGTAACTAAATGAACGGTTGTAATTTGAGGACTAGCTGTATTCCTTGGAGCCCTAGTCCATCTGGGAGGGGAATCAAATTGGAGAACTCTGCCATAGAAATAGTAACATGCTATATAGCACTAGCAATAGCACTTAGACTTATATATTGCTTTACAGTGCTTTACAGCCTTCTCTAAGCGGTTTACAGCAGGGATGTCAAACTCAAGCCCGCAGGCCGGATCTGGCGCGCGGGGTGCTTAGATCTGGCCCACGGGGCTGTTCTGGAAACAGCAAAGGACCAGCCCATAGTATCTGTGCCATCAAAAATGGAGTTCGGAAGGGTTGTGTGCGTCCACCAAGTGTAATTTTTACTGGTAAAGGACTCCAGGAAGCCATCGCGGGTGAAAACGGATGTAGAGCTGGCCACGCCCACCCTGGCCACCCCCACCCCCGAGGTCAAACATAATCCTGATGTGGCCCTCAATGAAATTGAGTTTGACACCCCTGGTTTACAGTCATCATATTGCCCCCAACAATCTGGGTCCTCATTTTACCCATCTGGGAAGGATGGAAGGCTGAGTCAACCGTGAGACATTCGAACTGCCAAACTGCAGTCAGCTGGCAGTCAGC